CTTGGTAGCCCAGGCTGGCCTCGAACTCACAGAGATCCGCCTGCCTCTGCCTCCCGAGTGCTGGGATTAAAGGCGTGCGCCACCACCGCCTGGCAATAGACCTTCTTTTAATGTCTTGTTTATTCTTTTTTTCCTGGCCAGAACTCTGAGGTCTATATGTGCAATGAAGTTTTTAATCTATGTCTAAATCTTTAGCTATTAATTGAGAGGTTTTGGCTATAAACAAAGGTGAGGCCATTGTTTGACCCCATTGCTAGGAGGAGGCCAAATCAGGGGGGCATGGGGAAGCTTTTTAGCTACTATTTGAACATTTTCAGCCTGGGTGGTAAACATGTCTATTTACTTTGAAAGGCTATCTATAAAAACTACCAAGTATTTTTGTTCTCCACCAGCAGGCCTGATCTCTGTGAAGTCAGTTTTTCCAGAGTTCACCAGGATGTTGGTCTCTCATTTGGACCTCTTCCTGGGTAAGGGTTCTCTATTTTGGATTCACTTGAGCACAAATCTGGCATCTGGATGAGACATATTGCAGTAGGCTGTCTAGTCTAGGTATAACATACCTTGGTGTGAACAACTCAGAAAGTTTTGTGGACTCAAGATGAATAGCCTGGTGAAGGTGAGTTACCAGAATCCTGTCAGTCATTTCTGGGAGAATGGTCTTTCCTTCTGATGTCACCAGTCAACCTATGGGTTTGAGTTGTCCACTTTTTCTTTACCATAGTGTTTCACCAGGTCATGATATGTCATTAGGATATCAATAGACCCCACTGGTCTTAGGGTCCTTTGTCAGGTAGCCAGGTCAGGAGCCCAGCAGTGGAGGAGGACAGCAATTTGTAGGGAAAGCCAAACAGCTTCTAGGAGGGCCAAGATTTGTTGTTGTTTGAGACAGGGTTTCTTTGGGTAACAGCCCTACCTGTCCTGGGACTCATTTTATAGAATAGGATGATCTGTGTCCCTCTGCTTCCCAAGTGCTGGTGTTAAAATCATGTGCAACTATGCTCGGCTGGAGGGACAAGATTTTTTTAATGCCACCCTTTTCCCAGCAGTGAGAAGCCCTCTTTGTCTATAGATCATACTGTGGATATGCCATATCAACTGATGGTCTGTGTATACATTGGTGGGCTTTCCTTTATCCCATCTGAGAGTCTGGGTCAGATCATTAAGTTCTTCTCTCTGGGCTGACATACCTGGCTTGAGCCCAAATCATTTTTATTAAAGTAACTACTGCAGCTCCCATAAATCTGCTTTCATCATGTGACAATTTGATGAGCACCTGTGTCATCAGGCAAGATGGTAGCTGAGTTGTTGATGATAGTTGGTTGGTTTCTCAAACCAGACTCAACGGTGGGCCAGGAGTAGGCCTGGTACTGGGTCACACAGTCATTAGACAGCCATGATTCTAGGGCTCCTCAGAACAAAGCCTCGACCGTGTCATGGGTGTTGTGAGTATAAGGTCTTGAGTTAACTTGTTTGCTTTCTTTCATTCAACTAGCAGTAGAGCTATCCTGTGGCTCCAAGGTCTAATCATTTAGACAGGTATGTCACAGGGTGTATCCATGGCCTAAAATTTTGGGTTAAAACCTATTTTCCCTTTTGTTTCATGGACAGGTGAAAAGGTTTTGAGACATCTGTAAGTCCTAGGGTTTTTAAAGCCTCAAGTACTTTTCATTTAGTTTCAGTCCAGATTATGGGATTAGTACCCCACTTTGTGCTAGTGTATGAATGCCTTGCTATTTCCACAAACTCTAAGACAGCAATAACCAGTTGTACCTAGGAACTCATTTTTTTGTCTTTTTATTCTTTTTTTCCATACATTACTTTTTTTTTCAATCTTCTTTATTAAGAAATTTTCTGCTCACTCGACATACTACCATATCCCCCCTCCTCCCACCATCCAGCCCTCCCTCCCTAGCCACCCTACATCCCCACATCCCCCAAGCTAAGGTCTCCCATGGTGAGTTAGCAGAGCCTGGCACTCTGAGCCTAGGCAGGTCCAAGCCCCTCCCCACTGCCACCAAGGCTATGCAAGGCATCATACTGCAGTCACCGGGCTCCCAAAAGCCTGCCCATGCAACCAGGGACGGATCCTGATCCCCCTGCCTGGGTGCCCCCCAAACAGTTTGAGTCAAACAACTGTCTTCCATATCCAGAGGGCCTAGTCCAGTCCCATGGGGACTCCACAGCCACTAGTCTACAGTTCATGGGCTTCCACTAGTGCAGCTGGCTTACTGGTATCTTTACATCTTGTTTTTCACAGCAGCAGCTAACAGCATCCTCTCTGTTCTTTCTCTTTCCTCCTCTCTAGTTATAATGTCCTGCCTAAGCCTATTCTGCCTCACCATTGGCCAAACAGTTTTATTTATCAACCAATCAGAGCAACATATTTTCACAACATACAAAAAGACATTCCCCATCAAAGAAACATCACTAACTATCCTAAAACACATAATGTGTTTGCAATTGTATGTGGGATAGTTATACCACATTAGGTCAAATTATGACTTAGTTATTGTTTTTATTTGGAAATTAAACATGAATTTAGGAGATGTGATTGTGGGTCAGATTGTCAAGGTGTGGACTTCTGATGGCTAATCTTGGTAGTCAGCTTGACTATATGCGGCATACCTGTGGCAGATTTTCTTTTTTTTTTTCTTTTTTTGTTTTTGTTTTTGTTTTGGTTTTCGAGACAGGGTTTCTCTGTGTATCTTTGCGCCTTTCCTGGAACTCACATGGTAGCTCAGGCTGGCCTCGAACTCACAGAGATCCACCTGGCTCTGCCTCCCGAGTACTGGGATTAAAGGCGTGTGCTTCCACTGCCCACAGCAGATATTCTTGATTGGGTCATTTGAGATGGGAAGACCCACCCTGAATCTGTGTCACATCTTCTGGTGGCAGCTCACATAAAAAGGACATGGAAGAAAGAAGCTTTTGCCTGTTTTCCCTCACTCTTGCTGTAAAGTCCACCTCTCCTGCTGCTGAGGAATTCCTTCACTGTCATCAGAACCTACCCTGTGATTCCAACATAAACAGAATACCAGCAGCTTTTTAGGACTTCCTTGAGAACAGAATGTGACTGCTGTGATGCTCAGTCTCATGGACTGAGCAACTGCTTTATTGTTGGCCTTCCATCAGGAGACAGGCATTGCTGGACTACCCAGCCACAGCCTGGAAGCCACTCTAATAAATCCCATATGTACATATATTCATTCATTCTATTAGTTCTGTTCATTTTGAGAACGTTGAATAATACAAATCTCTATTTTTCAGAGCAGTTCACATCTCAATGAAATACTCACCACCAACTCTGTGCTTTTACAAGTAAACCCACTAACATGGAATACGGACAACCCAGTGATTGCCACTTTGCATCTCTCTCTCTAGGTCACAATACCTACTGTCCTCTGGGACATTATGGGACTCAAACCCCAAATAACCCCACTCTTAAAATCCAAACTTCTTATTCCTACCAACTCATTCCACAATAGTTTAGTCCTTCTGGCAACAAAACCTAAGGGTCTCTTTCCATCTTCTCTAAGACTTAGGAAAAATCAGTGCCACCATTGTCTCCAGTAACCTAGTAATCTGACCCCCATACCTTGTTATTAAGACTTAGGAAAAATCAGTGCCACTGTTGTCTCCATTCACCTAGTAACCTGACCCCTATACCTTGTTGTAGCTGAAGTTTTATCCAGTCCTGCCTGGCCCACGGTCAGGACAAATCTCTCTCACCCTCCAGTCCCGCAGCCACTCAGAACCAACCGAGTAAACACACAGAGACTTATATTGCTTACAAACTGTATGGCCGCAGCAGGCTTCTTGTTACCTAGTTCTTACATCTTAAATTAACCAATTTCTATAAATCTATACCTTGCCACATGGCTTGTGGCTTACTAGTATCTTACATGTAGGTACTCTTGGCAGTGGCTGGCAGCATCTCCTCACTCAGCCTTCCTGTTCCCAGAATTCTCTTCTCTGCTTCTCCTGCCTATACTTCCTGCCTGGCTACTGACCAATCAGCATTTTATTTATACAGAACGATATCCACAGCACCTTGTTATTCTTTCTCCACCTAATGTCACTCATTTTACTGTCATAGACTTAAAAAATATTTTTCACTATTCTTTTACACCAGTGGTTCTCAACCTTCCTTATGCTGTGATCCTTCAATATAGTTCATGTTGTAGTGATCCCCAAGCAAAAAAATTATTTTTTTGTTGCTACTCCATCACTGCAATTTTGCTATTGCTATGAATCACAATGTAAATATCTGTATTTTCAGATGGTCTTAGGCAACCCTTGTAAAGGATCAGTCCCAAAGGGGTCACAACCCACAGGTTGAGAACCACTGTCTTATACTCTTCTCCTAACGCCTTTGTCTCTTCCCATGGGTGGATTCTAACACACACTGTTCTCAGTAGCTACTGTAGGCTGTCTTACTTCTGGAATTCCTGGATAGCTCCCATTTCTTTAGCCAGGTTTTACAGGATGGTCTGGCCACTCCTGGTGTATATGCTCTACTATCCTGCTTCAATATGTAGATGTTCTACTCTGTGGTTCTTCTAATTTTGATTGTGCCTATTAGACTTCTATCTTTCTAAACTCCCTATGTGCCTGGGGATACCAGGCCTAAAAGGAAAAGGCCCAGGTAATCACTTATATAGCACCTTATCTAAGAATCACCCTTACTCTAAAATAAGGATTCATACCTCCTCACTGTAGGAGCCTTCATTCAAGAGCTTCCCCTCTCTACTACCAAGAAGGACCTGTCATCACATTTGGATTCCAAATATCTCTCTCATAGCAAACCATTATTTGGAACAACAAGGGAGGATCTGGCTGTGCCTTTGTTCTCCCCTGCTTCTCTCCACTCACCCTACTAGGCTGAAATACAGGTTATCCCAGACTTCAGCCCTATCTTCCCAAAGCCCTCAAACCTTTCAAACTCTATATTCATGCAAATGGAGGAGAAGCTCTAGGCTGATAGCTCATACAACATGTTACTAAGTGTCATTATTACACATAAGTACTTACATATATATAACAAATAAGTCAGTGGATAAAAATGAAAGGCTAAAGACTCAGTTTAACTGTAAATCAGAAGACAGGAATTTATTGATGTGAGATGTCAGCACCCTCAAACCATGGCACTCGAGGGTACCAGAGTACATTCTATGCAAGATCTGTGAATAAGTTTTCATAGTTGCTGGTAGGAAGGAAAAAAAGGACCCAGCAAAGCCAGGTCCAGAAGCTGTTTTTTTTTTTTTAACTGTTTGTTTTTTATTTTGTTTTGTAAACTGTTTTTGCCAAACTTCTGGTGGAAGGTAAGTTAGAGTGTTTGTTTTTGTGACCTCCAGGCTCCAGGATGCGGGATGAATATTGACTGCTTTCCATAATTCCATGGGTATCAGAGTTCTTGAAGCTTTGAGTTTGTTTTATGATCCTGTTACACTTAGTAACATGTTGTATGAGCTATCAGCCATATTATATAGTCTAATATATATATTTATTTGTGACTATATAGAATTTTAAAATATGATCCATATGTTTACATGATGATGAGACCATCTCACTATTTTTAAAAAAACATTCATGTCACTGAGTGGCATGATCATAAATAGTACATAAATTATGCTCTAGCAGTCTCATCCCCAGCTCTACAGAAGAATACCCATGACAACCTTCCCCACACCCCTACCCCATTCCATTTCCTGTGGATCCAACAGATATTTCCCCTATAACCTCCCTCCCTCCACTTGTTTCAAGGGCCACTCCAGTTATGGCAACAAGTAGGCTGACAGCAGAGCTACACCTCTCCTTCTTCTTCCCCAACTCCATGTCCCTAGTCTCATTTCCAGCTCTGTAGCAGAAAATCTTCTGCACTCTTCCTATTCTCTCTGATGTCGTCCCCAACAGATCACAAAGGTCTTCTCCAAACTTTCTTCCCCCAACTCATCCCAGTATCTCAGCCTCCAACACCAGTAAGCATTCACTGGGAAACAGGGAACACACAGGCATCATACCCTTCGAAAACCCAGAGAGAAAACAAAAACCAAGGAACAAAACACCCACCCAAAAGAAGGCAAATCCAGCAATCAGCACCTAGGCCTACAACCAACTCAATCCCAGAAGCCCAGATGCAGTGCAAAAACAGAATACCAGCCAGGGCAATGTGCTTCAGCAGAGCCCAACTATCCTACCATAGCAGGCTCTGAATATTCCAACATAGCCGAAGTACATGAAAAAGACCTTAAGACTGCCTTTATGAAGATGATAGAGGCCCTTAAAAAGGAAATTCATAAATCCCTTAAGGAAAATCAGGAGAATACAGTGTAAGGAAATAATAAAACTGTTCAACATCTGAAGATGGAAATAGAATCAATATAGAAAACCCAAACTGAGGGAATTCAAGAAATGAAAAATTTAAGAATTTGAACAACAGGAACTATAGAGACAAGCTTTATGAACAGAATACAAGAGATGGAAGAAAGAATCTCGCGCATTGAAGACATGTTAGAAGAAATGGATACATCGGCCAAAGACCATGTTAAATGCAAAAAGAAAATACTGAAACAAAACATCCAGGGAAGCTAGGACACTGTGAAAACACAAAACCTAAGAACAGCAATAGAGGAAGGAGAAGAAACCCTGCTCAAAGGCCCCTAAAATGTTTTCAATAAATCATAGAAGAAAAATTGTGTAACCTAAATAAGAAGACACCAATAAGGGTACAAGAAGCATATAGAACACCACATGGATTCTACCAGTAAGGAAAATCCCCTTAGCACATAATAATCAAAACGCTAAATACAGAATAAGAAAGATTATTAAAAGTTACAAGGGAGAAAAGACCAAATAACATGTAAATGCAGACCTATTAGAATAACACCTGATTCTCAATGGAGATTCTAAAAGCTGGAAGGGAATGGACAGAGGTGCTGCAGACTCCGAGAAACCATAGATGCCAGCCCAGACTATTATACCTAGCAAAATTTTCAATCACTGTAGATGGAGGAAATAAGATATTCCACAATAAAGCCAAATTTTAACAACATATGCCTGCAAATCTGGCCCTACAGAATGTGCTAGAAGGAAAATTCCAACCTAAGGAAATTATGTACATCTTACACAGGGAATAAGAAATTGCACACTAGAAAAGTCAAAAGAAGGGTTACACAAACACACATCACCATGACTACCACCATTACAGCTACCACCACCACCACCACCACCACCACCACCACCACCACCAACAACAACAACAACAACAATAACATTAAAATAACAAGAATCAAACAGCCAGCACATGCACTGAGGATAGGTCCCATTCCTACTGCCTAAATGCCTCCCAAACAGATCAAGCTAATCAACTGTCTCACTTATCCAGAGGGCCTGATCCAGTTGGGGGCTCCTCAGCTATTGGTTCATAGTTCATGTGTTTTCATGCTTATACAGGGACATTTGGCTCAGCTTGGGAGGAGAGGACTGGACCTGCCTGGACTGAATCTACCAAGTTGAACTCAATCCTCAGGGGAGTCTTTGCCATGGAGGAGATGGGAATGGGGGGGTGGGCTAGGGGGAAAGTGGAGGGGCTGGAGGGGAGAGAACAAGGGAATCAGTGGCTGATATGTAAAATTAAATTAGATTATAAAATAAAATTTAAAAAAATAAAAGAAAAATAATCAACAATCATTGGTCATTGACATCTCTCAGTATCAATGATCTCAATTCCTCAATAAAAAGACACAGACCAATAGAATGAATGCAAAAACAGGACCCATCCTTCTGGGGCATCCAAGAAACACACCTGAGCATCAGGATAGACTTTACCTGAGGGTAAAGGGTTGGAAAAATATTACAGATGAATGGACATAAGAAGAAAGCTGGCTTAGCCATTTTCTAACAAAATACACTTCAAACCAAAA